TGCTTCAGCCTCCCAAAGGACTTAACTCTTTAAAAACAGTTTTAGGTTCACAAGAAGTGTGAGTGGATACACAGATGTCACATAAGACCCAGCCTCCCACAGGCACAGTTTCCTCATTATCATCGTGCTTGCTTCTCAGCCTGGTCCATCTGTAACTTGGATGCATCCTTGTCAGCCGGAAGACACAATTTGCATAAGGGCCCACGGGGGCTGGCATTCTGTGGGTTTGGACAAATACATGGTGTGTGACCAGCACGGTGGCATCACAGTGATTTCACTCCCTACCTCAGCCCTGCCTGTCTGTCCCTCTCCTCTAATATTTGGGAGCCAGTAAACAGTATTAGGGGTGGAACCAGGGAGTGTGGAACTACATCCCTAGCTATTTAAAAAAAATTTTTGCTGGTGATTTAGCTCAGTGGTGCCGCCACCTGCCTCTCAAGTTCAAGGTCCTAAGTTCAATCCTTGGTACCAAAAAAAATTGTTTTTAATTTTGAGAGGTCTTTTTAGGTTTGCCAGTCTCGCTTTGAATGTGCAGTCCCCTGCCTCAGCCTCCCAAGTAGCTGGGATTGCAGGTGTGCATCACCGTTCCCAGGCCACTGTTTTTTTCACTTCCTCCACAGTTTTATCTTATCCAGAACATCATGTAAAGGTTGAGTGTTCCTTATCTGAAATTCCTGGGCCCAGAGTGCTTTGGAGTTCAGACTCTTTGAATTATGGAATATTTGTGTATACATATCATATAGATATCTTGGGGTCCAAGTCTGACACAGAATTATTTGCATTTTGTGGGTGTGTTGTGTATCCCCGTGGCCCATACTCTGTGGTGCATCTGCATTTTAACTGTGACTGTCACACAAAGTCAGGTGTGGAATTTTCCACTAGTGGCGTTATTTTGGCCCTCAAGAAGTTTTGGATCTGGAGCATTCTGGGTTTTAGATTTAGGGGTGCTTGGAATCACACGTCAGTAGCCATTCCGATGGGCTTCTTAGCAGCACCCCCTTCACCTTACTCCATGTGTTTCCATGGCGCGACAGCCTGGTTCTCTTCAGTGCCACGAGATATTCCATGGTTTGGGTGGACCGGAGCTTATTTACCATGTACTTGTTGAAGGACAGACATCTTGGGTCCTTCCAGATTTTGGCAATTAGCAGTAAGTCTGCAGTAAACAGCTGTGTGTGTATTTCTGTTTGTTGATTTTCTTTTTTTAAAGAGTAGTTTGAGGTTGACAAAAATGAGCAGAAAGTACAAAGAGAAACACACACAGCCGCGTTCTGTGGATTTTGGTGGTAAGTTAAATTATGGTGAAGGGCACCTTTTAGCAACATTCGGTGACGTGCAGTACTGTGGATCTGTCACCTGCACCAGTGGTTCCGCTGTGGGTCCCTGCAGTTGCTTCTGCTCCCTGCCGCAGCCCCTTCCTGACTGCTATGGCCAGTGGCTCCCTCACACCTGCTCAGCACAGGGCTGGGCCCTGTCTGCCTCATCCTCCCTGCTGACAGTGCCCTCTGCACTCAGCACCCTCTGTGGTGGCCCAGCCCCCTCCACCCTGTGCCTCCACCTGGCACCTGGGGACCTGACCCTCCTCTGCAGGGCTCCCCGGGGCCTTCTGCCTGCTCATCTGTGCAGAGGGGTGACCCTGATGGCCAGCCAGGCTCCCTCCTGGACACCCCTGCCTTTCTGCTGCCGTCCTCTTCCCTGCATGCTCCCAGCAGCTTCTCGCAGGGCTGGGATGAAGAAGGGACACCTTGGGGTGCTGCAGACCGCTGAGGGATGCTGGGCCTGAGTGAATGGGTTTCAGCTGCACGTGGCTGCCCACAGGCCAGGGCAGGGGAGCCTTCGGTGCTGGGGAGGTTGGCCTGGGTTAGGGCTAGGGCTCTGCAGCGCCCACTGTCCCGCAGGGCCTGCTGTACTCCTCTCCCTGTCTCCTGCCCCCTTCCTCGTCCCCTCCCAGATCTGCTCCCCGGAGCCCCCTGCACATCAGGGCCACCTGCCCTGGGCTCGCTTCCCAAGAGGTCTCAGGTGGCCCTGGGGCCCTCACGGAGAGCTCAACACTGTCCCCTGCAGCTGCCGGGGAGCCCTGTGAACCTGTGGGTTCACCTTCACCTGCCCTGGTTCTTAGAGCCACAGTGAGGTACAGAGCCGTGTCTGGGTGATAGAACCAGCAGGATTTGGGGTGCATGCTGCTACCCCAGACCAGCTGGGTTAGAGGCTGCGCTGCCTGGGCGCCCTCATGCCCCCGCTCTGGGGATGCCAGGCACTGCCTGGGGACCAGTTTACTGACCTGAAACAGGTGCATTGGACTGGGGAGGGTTCTGCATCTGGAGCCACCTTGCACCCCAGTCCTCCTCAGTATGTCCAGGGGCTGGGAGACGACACCCCAGGCTGGGCTGCATCCTTGTCTGTGCAGAGGGGCTCACGCGTGGCTGGCTGCGGGGGAGAACAGGCAAGGCTGACAGCTGCTCCGAGGGAGGGTGTGGGGCACATGCGTGCATACACAGGACAGCGCATCTGTGTATAGTGTGCCGTGTGGCAAGTGTGTGGCGTGTGCGGATGTGTGGTGCACCGACAGGCAGCTGGAGGTGGGGCTGGGGACCCGGCTGCGGCCCGGCTTGCTCTGCCTGGCGTGGGGCAGCAGTTGTTTCTCCCGGGGTCTCCTTGCTTTCTTCTGACCTCGTGTGGGGTGGGTTACACTGTCACTGGGGCGGAGTAGGAATGCAGTTCCCGCAGCTAGGACGCCACACTCCAGGACTCAAGTGTCCGCAGGTGCTCCGACCCAGCGGTGGTGGGCGGGGTGATGGTGGACCTTGTTCCTAGTGGCAGCTGGTGTGTCTCACGCAGCACGGGCTAGAGGGCGGAGTCGCCATGGGGCCTGGAGCACCTGCCGCCAGGTGCCGTTGAGAACTTTCTGGAGGCTGCTCGGGCCTCGGGAAGCCGGATGAAGGAGCCCGAACTGCCCGTGGTGGGGCTGGACCCCGAAGACTGTGCAGCCTGTGGGCCACCGGCTCAGGGAGGATGAAAGAGCAAGTCCTGTGCTTCCCACAGTGTGGCTTTTCCGTAGAGTTCTCCCTGGGGTGGGGCAGCAGCCTGGGAGGGGTTTGCTGCCCACATTGCCCTGCCTCTGGCTGAGCTATACCTGTTCCGAGTTATTCTCATGGGGCACACTCTAGTGTGAGGACTGGGTCATGCGTGTGGATGCACACACGTGTTCCTTGTGTGGTGGGGGAGAAGCTGAGAGGGTGGCCAAACCACAGTGGTCTCTGGGCCACAACTAAGGCCACATTTTTCTTTTCTGAGTACTGAGGATTGAACCCAGGTGCTTCACATGGAGCTACAGCCCCAACCCTTTTTAAAATTTTGACTCAAGGTCTCAGTTGCCCCAGCTGGGCTCAAACTTGCACTCCTCTTGCCTCAACCTCCCAAACTGCTGGGATTATTAGCATGTGCCACTATGCCCAGTTCTAAGGACTCTGTCTTTTAAAATTTTCCATAAAATTTTTATATTAAAAAAATCTCAGCTCTCTTAAGCTATAATCAGCTTCCCTGTTTTTATCAGGCAGATAATCAAATAATAAAAGCAAGAAATAGCAATAAAAACATAATCAAAACCTTTTCAGGTAAATGCACACTTTCAGTTGGCTTTTTGAAATACCAAATTCCAATTTCATTGGAAATTAAAGCCATGAGAAAAAATATAAGAATAAAATATAAACCTTGTGGATCTTAAACGGATCTCTGTCTTGGGAAGGCCTCTACAATGTAAGACGTAATAAAAGAAATCACTGAAGAAAAGTGACCATCGCTTGCATAAATCTTAAAGCTTCTGTTCTTTGAAATGGACAATGCAATTAAAAGATAAACAACAAATTAGGGAAAAGAGCAAGGCGACTATGTAAGACCTCTTCCACAGAAATGAGACTTCCACTGCCTACCGAGACATCGGCAGTGCACACAGATAATTCACAGGAGGAACAAAGATGACCACTTGGTAGGTCATCTGTTCAGGTGACCAGGGCACCAGATAAGCGTTTTCCAGGTGCCAGACTGGCAGGTGTACATCCCCGGTAATGCTGGTACCTGTGCAGAAATCCACTGGGTATCGTATTCGGGGCTGCTGTTCTCCTGGGGAAACGATCAGGAATCCCAGGAAGTACCCGGTAGACACAGTGAGGCTGCAAATATGTGTAGAGTTACGGTTCAGCATCCATTTGGAAACCGAAGGTCCCCAAAAGTTGGTTCTGGAATGGTGTGTCTGTGCCTTCCATGCGGCTACTGCAGTGGAGAGCTGGCAGTTAGAAGGTTCAGCTCCGATGAGGAGTGGGCTGCTGTACCAAGATAAGGGAGGCTGGGTCACTTCAACAACAGATATTTATTCCTTCAGTTCTGGAAACCGGAAGTCCAAGGCTAAGGCAGTAACAGGGCTGGGAGGGATGTGGGCTCTGCAGGCCTCCCACCGTGGCTGGTAGTAGCTCTCTTCACAGTCACATGGCCCTCCTGTTGGGTAGTGGTGTCAGTCCCCAATTTCCTCTATTTGCAAGGGCTCTAGTCAAACTGGATTAGGGCTCATCACAGTGACCTCATTTTAACTGATTACTCCTTCAAATAAAGTTGCGCTCTGGGTATGAAGATTTCAACACATGAATTGTAGGACACACTCTGCAACCCATAACACGTGGGGAAAATATATTTATCATATAACTGAAAGCAAGCTATGATACAGTTGTACTGGCTGCATTTTTAATTCATTCATTTTTAGATAGGACACAGAACATAGTAAAAATATACACATACTTTTGGATCCCGTAGCTTAAAGGGTACTTGGAGTTTAATGGAGACCAGAGTTTGGGAAGCAGGATTAATTTAGATGAAAGAAGCTCATAAAAGAGTAAATAGATTATGCAAATAGGTAAGAATTACCAAAGAGAGCAAATAAATGTCTAATGTTTAACCGATAGTCCTGGTCTGGTCTGTCTAGGACCAGGGAGCGGGTGGGGAGGCCCTTGCGTCCGGGTCAAGGAGGAGCCGATCCCTGCACTAGGAGAGAGTGTCCCGGGATTTTCTGCTCCTGAGTCGTTGCTGGCAACCCGTTTTCTCTTTTGAAAAGCTGCACTTCTAGGACACACTCCTGGGTCTGCTGCCGTGGAGCTTCACTGGCTGGGAAGTGGTATGGTTGGAATCCTTTCCAAAATCCCAGCACAGCCTCTTGGTTATCCTCAGTGGCGGTAACAGACCTTCACTTGAAGGTAGTTGTGTTCTTTGGAAGCAGCTGCGAGTCGTTGGCAGCCTGGCGACTCACTAAGTCATGGCCGCTGGAGTTTTCGAAAGAGTGGCCTGGCCCTGCCCCCGCCTTGGTCACCACAGAGGCCACAGCCAGGGCCACGGCAGCCACTGGGCGTGAGAATGGTGGCTGGTGGGATCTGCAGTGTGTGTGAGTGACACACCAGATTTTAAGACTTTAAGAAGGTGAAATATATGTAATCACTTTTTCATACTGTGTGTGCACTCACAGGACATTGTTCTGAATGTACTGCGTTAAAACCCCATGTTTTAAAAGTTAATTTCGCTTGTTTCTATTTCCTTTTTAAATGGTGACTGCTAGAAAACTGTAAGTTGTACGTGTGGCTCACGTTGTATTATCAGGGATGGCCCACCTCAGTAAGAGGATTCTGTTCTCTCATATAGCTTATTAGCGGACCTTGTAACTCCTCAGGAATTCTTGAAAATATCGTGGACAGACTAAGTTCGAATGAGGACGTGGCCGTTTTGGGTAACCAGTGGGAAACCACTTGTGTTCTGACGCTTAGGTTGCGACCTGATCGTTGTTTTGAGGCTCATAGCTTGGTTGTCGTGTGTCGTGGTGTGTGGTGGTGTTCAGACTGCAGGGACCACAGTGATGAAGATGAGAGAGGGCCACACCCTCGGCCAGGAGCAGACACAGGGCCTCCCGGGGCGACTGGCCAGGATGTGGGAAGTACAGAAATCCAAGCTATGCAATTTCAGGGTCACACTGTCGCTCCCCTTGGTTCCTTGTCTGGGACACTCAGTGTCCAAGGGCAGAACTGCGTGGCCATACCCGGCCGGTGGAAAGTGTTCGCTGCTGGCCCTAGCAGAGTACTTCCGCCGATCCCTACCAAGGGGCAAAGTCCATTCTGCAGCCTGACGGAGCATTTGGATGGGGAGAGGATGCACTGTAGGGGAAAGCAGAGGGGAGTCCTAGAGGCAAGGTCCAGAGCTGGGTCCCGGCCCCCAGCACAGGTACAGCGGTGCCTCGGTTCACAAACTTAATTCTTTCCATGATACTAGAAGAGATGGCCTAGTTTATGTTCATGTGGGAAAGATAGCCAGGGTCATGTTCATTGCAAAACAAAAAAAACAAAACAAAAAAATTCATGCTTGCAAAATTTGCATATTTGCAAAGAAAAACAAAATTTTGCCAGGTGCTTCTGCTTGTGCACCAAATTGTTCACAAATCAAAGCTTTTGTGAATCGAGGTACCACTGTATCTGTAAAGGTAATGCTGATGTTGGCCTTGGCAATGGGGGAGACTGGAGCAATGAGTCTGTTGGTCAAAAGATGCCAGGATGGGACTGGTGGCTCCTGGGCTGCTGGGAAGTTGCTGGAGTATTATGTTTGGGGAGAGCTGGTGGCCACAGAGGCAACTGGAAATATGCAGAGGGGCCAAGGGAGTGGGGGTTCGAGGAGGGGCGCCTGAAGAGGTGGGTGGGACTGAAGATCAAGCAGTATACCACTGGGACTTGGGGTGGTCAGTCCGCTTTCTGTGTCTGACTCCGACTGTTCCAGGGGCTGCCTACAAGCAGGCATGTGGTACTGTATCTGTCTTTTGTGTCTGGCTTGCAGGTGTGGTGCTCCCTTTCTGGCAAGGATGGGCGCTGATGCTGGCGATTCCACAGCATTCTGTTGCCTCGTGGTGGTACAGTTGGCTTTGTTAGGGTGAGGACACTGGTGTTTGCACAGTGAAAGAATTGCCCCGTGACAGGTTTCTCTGAATGCATCCCTGCTGTGACAGTCACCGAGGCATCGTCCTCAGGGCCCATTGACAGTGTACAATGCGCGTCTTAGTTATGCCCTGTTGCTGAGACAAAATACCAGATATCTACAAGTTAAAGGAGGAGAGATTTACTTTGGCTCAGAGTCGTAGGGCTTTTAGACCATGGTCAGCTGGCTCCAAGGCAGGGTGGCACGGCGGAGGGGAAATCATCCACGGCAGGGAAGGCCGGAAGCAGTGAGCTTCCTTCCTTCCCTTTTCATCCCACTCAGGCTGCAGGCCTATTGGTTGGCTCTGTCCACACCCAGGTTGGGCCTTCCCTCTTCAGTAAATCCACCACCCACACCCAGAACTGTGCTAAACCAGTCAGGACTAATCTAGTACCACACACCCGTGATGCAGTCACTCCAAAAAGTCCCACGGATAAGCATGTGAGCACACGGAACTTCAGGAGGACATCTAGATAGAAGCCATAACAGTGGGTCGGTGTTGTTGAAGGCTGAATATAATTCGTGTACCACCTGTGGTTTCCCACTCACAGTCCATAATGTTATTTTTAGCTTCAAGACTTTTTTTCACAGAGATGAGGTGGAAGCCTCATCTTTTTGTGGGGTGGTCCTGCCCCAGTTGCTCCCCTGCACACTTAGGAAGCTGGTCTGCATCTGTCCAGCGTGTGCCTGTCCCAGACACTCATAATTCACAGCCAGGATGTAGTACAGTTGCATACCCGTCTCTTTCTTCATGTGCACCAATGGCTCAGCTTGGGGTGTGTACGTGTGTGCATAGGTGAACGTCATCCATGCGCATACTTATGATTGGTTCTAAGAGCTGTTGTCTGGACTTATGCTGCAAACTGGCTGCTGAACGATACCCTCATGGTTGGCTCCTTGTAGAGAGGGATAAGGTTTCTACTCAAGACTCTTCCAAATCACTTTATGTGTACACTGTAGTACATGTGCTTCATGATTGATGATGCGGTCACATACTGGTGAATCCTTTGTAAATGGAAAATAGCACGATGGTGGTGCAGGCCTGTAATCTCTGCTCTCAAGAGGCTGAGGCAGGAGGATCACTGTGAGTTCAAGGACAGCCTGAACTGCATAATGAGACTTGTCTCAAAACAACAAAAACAAAAATGTAATCGAATAAAGAAAATAGAAATGCATTTACTGCAGTTCAGCTACCCAACATCTTGAGAGAATGTCCTGCCAAGGATCACTAGCCTGGGAAGAGGCCTAAATTCGAATCAGAATACATGCTGCCCTTGCAGTTCTGTGCAGTCAACCACTGTAGGCCAGGCGTTGGAGGTGAGATGCACGTGTGTCTGGGTTGCTGACTCCCAGGGCCCTGGCAAAGCAGAAGCTTCCCAACCTAGCACCATGCCTTACTGCACTGGCACACAGGAGCGTTTTCTTTTTCCTCATGTGCTGGTCTCAACCCACTGAATTGGCTTCAACATCCACTATTGGGAGGGCTGTAACCTGCACTTTGAAAAAGCATCCCAGGGAATTTTCTGAAAGTCTCAAGGGGACTGGGTCTATCAGATCCAATTACTGCCCCCACCGCCACCACCCCAGAGTGCAGCAAAGCCCGTGCAAGTGCCTTCTCCTTTGTACTCTCTGAAATCATCAGCGAGACTCTTTCCATTTTTATTAGTGCCTTGGTTTGCCTTCTGTGTGACTTGCCCACTTTGTCTATTAAAATTTTGGCTCTTTTTACAGTGATTTTGTAGGAGTTCTTTCTGTAGTCTCCATACTGATCCTTTTTTATATATTCTGGATACTAATTCTCTTATTTCCAGTGTTTTTTTTTTTTTTTTTTTTT